CCCCGCACTGATGCTCAGCAGGGCAATGTGCGGGAGTGGGGAAGAGCCGCCGTGATCATCGTGCCCGCCCGGCGCCCGCCTGCCTCCGAGCTGCCCCACTGGGAGAGCCCAGCCCGTGCCAGCCTGGGTTTGGTGGCCAAACTCCTCCCCGCTTCCTGAGTCCAGGAAGGAGAGGATGTCTTGGCATAGCGGGACCCTGACCCTCCTGCTGTACCTGGAGGACCAGGCAACGGGGACGGCGGGGGCCAAAGCCCAACTGAACTGTCCCCAGACCTGTGTGGTGGGTGCTGGAGGGGGGGCAGAGGGGATACCCCTTCCAGGCAGTGAGATGATGCAGCAAGCCTGGCTGTTGTAGGGTGGGAGTGATGTGCCTTGTGCTTCACGCCTGTGTGCTCTCCGCACGTGGTGGCGTGCCATGCATGCACGTGTGGTCTGTGTGTGCCCTGCGTACTCTGTGCATGTCTGTGTGCACACGAGTGCACTATGTGCATGCATGCCGCATGCATGCACATGCAATTTGTGTGGTGGTCTTTCTGCATGTGTGTGCACGCGTGCTCTGTACATGTGTGCATGGGGTGGTTAGCATGGCAGGGGCTGCCATGGCTGGGTGGGCATAGCCGGGCACGTGGCAAGGTGAACATGGCCGAGGGTGGACATGGTAGAGGGGACAGCACAAAGACTATAAACACATTAACCCCAATCCTGGAAGAGGTAGATGCCCTGCATGGTGCCCCTGCCTTCTCTGGTGCTCAGGGCAGCAGGAACAGAGTGAGGCCCTTCTGTATCCCCAGCCCGGATGCTGTACATGCAAGGAGCGAAGGGTCCCCTGTGCTTCTGCTTCTTCCCCCCTCCCAGCTGCAGGAGGCCCCAGAGATGCCAGGTGGGACCCACAGCAGTTGTACCCCCTACAGGCCTGAGAGCTTTTGGGGGCTGTGCAGGCAGCAGTGCAGGGACTAAGGTCACATGGGTGTGCACATGTGCAGGTATCTGTGTGTGTGAACATGCTTGTATGTGTACATGTGTTAAGTATGTGCATGCATGTACACATGTATCTGTATGTCTGCATGTGCATGTGCTTGTTTATCTGTGTCTGTATGTGTGGGTAGGCATGTGTATGTCTTTGCTCATGCCTGCATGTATATGTGCATGTATGCATGTGCGCATCTGCCTATATGCCTCTACAGATACATGCAAATGTATGTTCATGCATCTGTGTGTGTGTGTGTCTGTGCACATTCAACTAGGTATGTGTGCGAAAGGGCGGAGGGGTCCGTGACTGACTCCTTGGCTAGACAAACTTTTGTGAGGGACTGGCATGCTCTTTCCTTGTTAGATGCTGTGGCTGGGGTAGGGGGAACACGGGGGCCTTTCCCTGGAGATGCTCCCCCAATCTCCCAGTCTTTACAGTGAGGCCCAGGTCCAGCCTCCCCCCTGTTTCTTACTCTTCTTCCTCATCTCTCTTGCCCTTTCCTGCCTCCAGCCCTTCCACCTTCCTGGTGCTCCATCCCCCTTTGCCTGCCCTGCTGGCCCCCCCACCCCATTCTTCCCGGCTGACACTCTCACAAAGCCCGGAGACAAGCTTTCAAAGGGGCAACTCATGCGGAAGAATCACTGCCCCCCTCACCCCCCGTGCTCCAAATGCAACCTGGCACTTTCCCAGCAGGGTGAGGGGCTCCCGCCCCCCCCCAGACCCCTTGTTTGGGGTGATTCACTTCGTCTGTCAAAGGAGGAGGCTGAGGGTGTGGGAGGCCTGGTCCCAGTGCCACCCGCATGCAGCTCTCCCTTATCCCCTGGTTCTTGCTCCTCCCAGAGCCGTTGTCCCTCTTGCAAGGCCTCGGGATCAGGATCAGGATTGCAGGGGGGGGCAGTACAGGGAACATGGGCTGAGACCAGAGTTGTGGGACCTGTGTGCAGGCACTGGAGCCGCGGTTGGCAGTCTGACTGTGGGCAGGGCTAGGCAGAGACAGGTGGAAATGAGACCCAGCAGCCCGACAGGGACTCACAGGCAGGGATGAGATAGTGGGCCAGGCTGAGCCCTGTGGGCAGGGGTGGGATGTGTGGGTGGGACAGGGCAGGGTTTTGACCTGCAGGCAAGGCGGGGACCCCTTAGCAAGGCAGGACTGGGTGGGACCTGCAGGCCTGGCAAGGACCCATGAGCAGGGCAGAGCAGGGTACCAGCTTGAATCCCTTGGCCAAGAATTGTTCTGTCCGTGTGTGCCTCAGTTTCTCCTTTTGGCAGTTAGGGCTTGCAATATTTACCTCTATATGCATGTTTGAATGCAGATGTTTGTCTGGGTCTCTGGGTATAAACATGAGTATTTCATCCCTCTGCAGCAGACATTGCCCTGGGCTCCGGACTCTTGCTGGGGCAGGACCCTCTTCATGTAGCATCAAACACCAGGCACCTCAACAAGTCAGTGCCTGGGGATGCTCGTGATGTGGGCTCGACTGCAGGGTGCTGCAGCGGCGACGTTGCCTGTGCCGAACTCTTGGAGGTCACCTCGCTGTTGGGCAAGGGGCCCATCTGCATTGCTGCTCTTGTGTTCGGGGTGCATTGACCTCCCCGCTCCGCCCCCCATGCTGGTGCTGCCAGGGCCTGGGGGCCTGCTAGGTGCTTGGGTAATGGAGATGGCCCTGCCAGCTGCGGAGGAGGTGGCAGGTTCGCTCTAGCCCAGTTCCTCTGCCTGGGACCCTCCCTTGTTAATGGCTGTACCCCAAAACAGGGCAACAGGGTGCCCCCGCTTGTTGCCTGCCCTCCCAGGCTTGGCAATGTCCCCAGCCCTGTGGGCTGCCCCTTGCCAACGGACTCCGGGCAGAGGTCGGCAGCTGGGGGAGCC